GTGACGCAGGTAGTGACGATTCTCTCCGGCCAATCCGTGATCAGCAGAGTTTACACGTCACGTTTTGGTAACGGTACGGTTCACTTGGAACCCCAACTGAGGTGGTACTAAAAAAAGTACCAGGTACTGTACCCAGTGGAAAACCCCCAAAAGTGAACCGTACCGAGCCGTACCATGCAGTGGAAAAGCGCCATTATATTACATATTGTAAAAAGGGGCATAATATGTCTCCTTTAATTGACACAACATTATTCCTTTTTGGTAAATATGTATTATTATTATTATTACTATTATTATAAAATATAAAAATAGTAATGTTAAATTAAGACACATTAATATTATTAAAAATATTAATATTAATGCTAATAATATGTATTATTATTGTACTTAAAAATCATTCAATATTAAGAGCAATATTCAGTTAGGACATTATTATTTGTAGTCTTATTATTTAGTTAGCATTTTGTCAAAGCAAAAAAAACTGATTAAAAACAATAATCAGGAAAACATCAGTTAACACACACTTACATTAAAATAATATCCATTTGGATAAAAAAAATCAATATCAGTCGATCTCTAATGTATTGTGTTAGTTGAGTGTAATAGACTGACATTTTAAAAATAAATAATACATTTCTCAGTGTAATTATAACTTTAATACAGTGACCTATTGTTAATATCTTTTTTCTGTCTTTAGATGCATTTGACCTTCTGTACTGTAAATGTACATTGTGTACAGTATATGCACACACACTCACTCTGTCACTCGCATGTAATAATCCTGGACAGTTTCCCGAACGTGGCAGTGTCACTCCATGCTACCCTTCCTTTAATTAACACTCTTGCTATACTGCAGTGATGCTGCTGTAATTAGTGGTACTTGTGGTACCACATTAGTGGTATGAAGGTGATTGTCTCCCATTATCTTGTAAAGCCTCTGTCTGGATTCATATGAAGGTTGAAGTTCATCCTGGTTAGCATAAACCATATCTACACAGCCCTTCAGTGCACATCTAGTCCTGGAACACACATGCTGTATGAATTGGCCACCCAGTCATGTGATATGATGTCACATGAAGTGAGATGAGGTTGCTTTCTGTCTGGTGCTCTGAAGGGAGCTCTGCATTTGAGGATTCAATCCAATAACGTTCTGCCAAACATCAGATCTTTCTCTGCCTTCACCTTTTTTTTTTTTTTTAACCACTTGAATCAATCATCCAGTTACGTTTTCAATTTGGCTCGTCAATATTTACCCATTACCATGACAGCCAGAGGGGAGCTTGATCTCTCTTCCTCTGCGCTTTTTATTTAGTCTCATACACCCTTGTGTCCTTTCACTCTGCCTGACTTCTCATTAAATGATAAGACATATACATGACACTACATAGTTAACTTTGATTTCTAGGAGAATAGCTTTCTAAGCCTCCTAGATTGACCCGAGGTCATTGTGAATTTATCCAGCATGCTGAGCCTGTTTTGAAACATCACTGCTGTGTTTATGCTCAGCTGGACAAGATGTAATGCTTCAGTCCGTGGCTCTCCCATCAAAAGAACATGGAGCTTGTTAAAAACATGACTGCATTCATCTAGACAGGATTTAGTGCTTTTGTTTAGTTTGTGAATATCTTCAAGAGCTGTTCCTCAACAAGATTTTAGAGGATCAATTCGAATAGTGTACATAGTTACTTACAGAAAATACACACTGTAGCTTTATCAGTAGAGTCACAAAATGTAATTGCTAAAATTATGATTGTTTTCAAACTATTGGTTGGAACAAAACAGATCTCGCCCCAAACTCACAGCATTGGTTGAGCCAGTGTTGCTGTTGTCAGGCTAGTCAGGATACTTAAACAAACAGAGCAATGTTTTGATTGTTCCATAGAGCCACAGTGTTTATACTTTTCCAAGAAATAAACTTACAAATGGCTCGCTAATGCTGTCAGGTGAAGAAGAATAAAACAGTAATTACACATTGATTTTAAGTGATTTCTGGTAGCCAATGTTGATATTTCAAATCACCAAAACAAACACGCCCCTACCCCAAAAGGGTCTCACCCCTATTTTGATAGCTCTGCCCCACACATACATACGCAACCCAGGCAATGATTATGGCGGAATCTGTTGTATTAAACATATTATCTTTATTACTTTTCGGACACACTTTGGGAGCTGACGCTTGAAACAGACAGTGGAGGAGGTTTAGATGCTCCAGTCTTATAGGGTGTGGAAATGAATGTGTCTTTATCATAGCTAAAGGGAACGACAATACGATTGCAGATGAACAAACAAGCGAACATGACACACGAGCATATTCAAGCAAAAGCCAGCATATATTAGTTCTGTGAAACAAAGCAAAACCAATGTTACTCACCTATCGAGAAGAAAAAAAGCAACCTCGGCGTCCGATCGCAGGCCTTCCCGCTCCTTGAGTACTCTCCAGTGCTGGAAAGCTGATCCGATATTTACACAGGTCCTACTTCTTGCCTTATCGTTCCGCAGACGTTTTCCTCTTTTGTTTTTTATATGCCATCTCTATCTTTCTGTCGCTCGGCTCGGCTAATGTCTGTCCCA